CTTCTTAAGGTCAAGAAACTTACTTCGTTTCTCTTTATATCCCCCAAGAGAAGGTAAATGCAAATTTCTCAATAATAACAATAAAGGTAAGTAATCATATAAAAAGGCAGATACTTAGAACGCAGCAAGGGAGGTTCCCTTGACTGTAATTCCGCGGAGATTTTGTCCGTCACTGTGAGCATTCAGCATTTTGTATAACCTTTTGTTTCTACTTCTCTCCCAAGTTTATACCTTATCTCTGAAAAGGGTACATTTAAAGTTTTGATATTTTCACTTGCAAACAATTTACAGATAACATGTAATCCAATCTGTATTTCATTAATATTTTTGCTTCTCAACATTTGTTGAGTGCCCCCTATGACAGCAGCATCGTGTAGGTTGCTGAGGTATGGAAGTGAGAAAGAAAAGAAAATAGAATGTTGATTAAGACAGGCTTCCAGCCCTAGAGAAATTAGTAAAAGAAACCTGCAAGTGATAAAAATCCGATATGACAATATCATGTGTGCATAGGCCAACTCTGTTAGAGGTGGGAGAATCACAGAGCTCCCCAAAGTAGGGGACATGTAATTGGATCTTGAAGGATGAACAGGAGTTTGCCAGACATTAGAGGAAATCAGCTTTCTGGACAGAGGGAACAGTATGTGTAAAAGGTAAAGAATGAAGAAAAGAGTAAATATTTCTAATGGCTGGTGTTACAGGCTGAATTGTGTCCCCCCAAAATCCATATATTGAAGCTCTAACCCCAGAATGTGACGGTTTTTGGAGACAGGACCTTTAAAGAGATGACTAAGTCAAAGTGAGACCATTAGGGCGGACCCGATCCAATCTGACTGGTGTCCTTATAAGAAGAGGAAATGTGGACATGCAAAGAGACAGGAGGGATGATATGCACAAAGGAATGACTATGGGAGGACAGAGCGAAAAGATGACTATCTGCAAGCTAATGAGAGAGGCCTCAGAAGAAACCAAAACTGCTGGCAACTTGATCTTGGACTTCAGCCTCCAGAAGCGTGAGAAAGAAATTTTTGTTGACCACCAGCCTGCAGTATTCTTATATGGCAGCCCTAGCAGACTAATACTGCTGGAATTAGGATGTCTGAGTGCTCATGGTTTCTCCTCAACACTCGCATAATACAGAGAGCTTATCATCAGTGCACTGATCCATCATTTTATCATGATCCATTTATGTCAGTGTCTCTCCCCCAGACTTGAGGAAGGTCACAGTGAGCTCTAATTTTTATTACAGTTCATTTAATGTCTCCAGAACATTATACAGTGCCTTATACAGGTTCATAAAAAGCAACAAAATTTTTGAAATTATTGTATGTTATTGCACAAAACACTAGTTGCAAGTCTAATAAAAAAAGTATACATCTACACTTATCGCTTTAATGACTGCATTTAAGTGATTTTTTTTTTTTCGTGAGACAGAGTTTCACTCTTGTTACCCAGGCTGGAGTGCCGTGGCACGATCTCGGCTCACTGCAACCTCTGCCTCCTGGGTTCAAGCAATTCTCCTGCCTCAGCCTTCCAAGTAGCTGAGATTACAGGCATACGTCACCACACCAGGCTAATTTTGTATTTTTAGTAGAGATGGGGTTTCTCCATGTTGGTCAGGCTGGTCTCCAACTCCCGACCTCAGGTGATCCACCCACCTCAGCCTCCCAAAGTGCTGGGATTAGGGGTGTGAGCCACCGCGCCCAGCCCTAAGTGATTTTTATCCTATTTAATGATTCCTATGACAGTACAGTGTATACATTTATTATTGCCAGTTTCCTTTAGAATAATTTTATCAAGTCCCCTAAAAAAAACTCTCACAATGTACTTTAAAGAGATTTTGTTAATTTTTGGATTTTGGGAGAATCAATTGTTAACGTATTAAATTTTTTTTATCACATGACAAGGGATGTCTTCTCATTTACTAATTTACTTCTTAAAATTTACCTTGTATGTCTTTGTAATTTTTATTAATTAAGCTAGGTACATTTCTTAATAAATGTACTCTATGTATTTAAATTTTTTATTTCTAAATAAAATTTGTTTTATTATACTGTCTAACTATGAATAATTATTACTGGTCTAGAGGAAAATTACTTATATATTTATTTTGTAGCCTATCATCTTCCTATCTTATCAGTTTTAATATAGTTTTTAAATTGATCCATTTGGGTTTTCTGGATAAGCACTCATATTATCCATGGGTAATGATAATTTTCTCTCTTCAAAGTATATATCTTCTTCTTTTTTCTTGTTTTATTGTGTTGGGTAGAATTTATAGAACAATATTAAATAATAGATATTCTCTCAGGCACTCCTTGTCTTCTTGGTTCAGTCTCTAGAATTTCTCCTATTTTGCCCATTAATTTCAGATAATTTTTTCTTATTTTGTCAAGGAAGTTTCTTTATAACAAATTTCCTATTTTATCAAGAATATTTCATTGAATTTAATCAATTACCTTTTTATCAACTAAAGCTACAAAAATTGTTAAAGCTCAAGTTGATTTGTACATTGGAAAGGTAACATTTGAGAACCATTACCTGTAACGGTAAGCACTTGTCCCAGACTATCAAGTAGCTATATTAGCATTGTTCAAAATCTTGGCACAGGCCTGGCATGGTGGCTCACACCTGTAATCCCAGCACTTTGGGAGGCAGACATGGAGGATTGCTTGAGCTCAGGAGTTCGAGACCAGCCTGGGCAACATGGCAAAACCGCATCTCCACAAAAAGTACAAAAATTCGCTAAGTGCAGTGGCTCATGCTTGTAATCCCAGATACTCAGGAAGCTGAGGCAGGAGGATCACTTGAGCCCAAGAGGCAGGGGTTGCAGTGAGCCAAGATTGCACCACTGCACTTCAGCCTAGGCAACAGAGAAAGACTCCATCTCAAAAAAAAAAAAAAAAAAAAAAAAAACCCTTGGCACAATGGTTGTCTGCTCATGGGAAAGTACATTATATTTCTACTTTAAGGAGATGTAAGAAAGGACCAGCTGTGGAAAGTCTGCTTAATGCTATACCCAAAATTTATAAAATATGGCAGCCCAAATGTCACATACTATCACCTGAGGTAAACGGCTGTAGCATCCTATGGATTTACTCCTTTGATCTATTGATGGGGATATAGTAGAAAACAAAGGAAAGTTTCTGCCTAGGAAAATGCCTAGCATTAGAGTAGGAACTAAATAAATATTTGTTGAATAAATTAATAAGTAAAAAATATTTAGGGTGCAGTAGCTTTTGTGGAGGTAGTTCTTGGACACTTTTTTCAATTTTGCTCACGATTTTTAGTCAACTTAATTCCTGATTCTTAACTTAAATTTGACATTTGTTTTTCTAGAAAATAATTTATGGTACCCAAACTTTTTAGTTTTCAACACATTAACTTTATAACTTAAAAAATTACCTCCATGTAAAAGAGAGTGATCTTCAATGGCTGTTTTGTTGATATCTTCAATTAAAGAGGTTTCTTTTCCTTTTTTTAAAAAAAAAAAAAATTTATCTAAGGCCTAGGTTCTGTAATTTATACTTTTCTCATTAATTTCTAACTTTGACTGTGGCCTGTATAGTTTTTTGCTTTACTGAGATTATTTTTGTTAACAATGTTTATAAATATTCCCAGAGTGGAGAAAAGAGGGTGTATTCTCTACAGGACATAAGGTACAGCAGGTAAATAATAGGCCTTTTAATTTCATTGACACCCTGATACTTCACTCTCCACCCTCTTTTATTTGCTGAGCAGGAAAATGACCATGAAATGAGTGATTGGTGTTTATGGGTGTTAGCCAAGTGAAAAAATGACTGTAATTGAACAAATTGATTAAACTATATATAAACAATAAGTCAAAATGTAAAAAGCCCATTATAAGATGTATCTTTATTGATAGAAACATTTTTAAATCTTGGTTTAAGAGTGTTTGACTTTCCAATATAGAATGAAATCACTGATATTTTAAAACATGTAATCTTATTACATGATGAATGCAGTACTCATTTTTAATTAAAGAAAAACATGACAGTAATTGATAATTGATAACAGTTTCTTCTTTTTCTTTTCCTTTTTTTTTTTTTTTTTTTTTTTCCTGATATAGCGTCTCTCTCTTTCACCCAGACTGGTGTGCAGTGGTGTGATCTCGGCTCACTGCAAACTTGACATCCTGGGCTCAAGTGATCCTCCCACCTCAGCCTGCTGAGTAGCTGGGACTACAGACACATGCCATCACACCTGGGCTAATTTTTGCACTTTTTGTAGAGACAGGGTTTTGCCATGTTGCCCAGGCTGGTCTCGAACTCTTGGGCTCAAGGATCCACCTACTCCAGCCTCCCAGAGTGCTGGCATTACAGGTGTGAGCTACAAGGCCCAGCCAATAATGTTTTTTCTGATTAAAACATACATGCTTATCATAGAGAGTTATTTAAAAGAAGGCAAGGTGATTTAGATTCCAGCTCCTTCATAGAATAGTACTGTGTCCTTGGATGAGGCACTTAATCTTTTCAGACCACTTATTCATCTCTTTAGACCACTTATTCATCTCTGAAAGGGGATTTGCAGGTTGTTATAATAATGTTGATAAAGTATCTGATACTTAAGTTCCCAGTGAGTGGGAGCTCTTTTTTAGGAGTTAATTCTTTAAGATTAACATGAGTTTGATAGTGTCCTATCTCCAAATATTTTAGAAAGAAAAATCAGTATATGACACTTCCTTTGGGGAAAAACATACCTGCCAAAGGTATTGTTTTTGACTTCTAAAAATTAAACTAAAATTTGTGAAAAGCAGGTAGCGTTTACTATGTTGTGATATTCAGATTAGCAGAATCATATTGCCAGGTGGAGTATTCGCTTACCTGTTCAAAAGACAGAGAAGTTAACAAAAATACAACCATCATCTGTATCTAGAGAGCACATCACATGAGAAGCAAAGCAAAAGCTGATACTTCAATGAGTCAAAACAGAAGTATAAGCATTCGTGAAAAATATAACTATCATTATCACTGGGTTCTTACCTTTGGTTGTTTAAGTAATATAACTTTGTCTTCTAGAAGTGGAAGTCACTAGTGTATCCAAAACAAACAGGGATATACTGTAAATCTTGACATCGTCAAAATCCAGGCCCCAATTTTTAAAAAATAATAAACATGCTGATTTTTCCCTTTCCTTAAAGATACACAAATGGCTAGTTTTCAAAATCATTCCCAGGGTAATAAACAGTTCTGTCGCATTGTCAAAGTAGGATTTTCATGACTCAGCATTGGATTTGCGGATTTACAGGTGGATGAAAATAACAGCAACATCATTATCCTTTGCTTGAGTCTGAGCCTATTAATATGTATGAGAGTTAGGAATAAAAGAAGGATTCTCAAGTCTATACCTCTCAACAACTTTGGAAGTAAACCAAAGGTAATATTGCCTGATGAATTTTATTAAAATTATACTTCCAACTTCACCCAGGGTTATAATCTTGAAAACAGTGTCTAGGTTTTCTATAAAGTATAATTACATTTTCAAATATAGTGCCATGATATTAAAAGTTATTTAAAATATTAATAGGATGCGCTTCATTATTCATTGATCTTTTAATTGTGTATTTTATGGAGTAATTGCATATTTGACACATAGCTGGTCAAGAAATAAAATAGGATAAAGCTGAGTTTGCCTGAAAGTATAATTCATACTTTTGATGCACAAAAATCATCACAATATTTCAGTTGGTGTCTCAATGTTACTCTAATAACCTAAAAGTAAATTTCCCTAAGAACTGTTTTATGCAATATATGACAGGCTACATACTCACAAAACTTTTGCTTATGGCTGAAAATCAGAATGACATGAAATAAACACTGTCTCCATTTAGCAAAACTGCCTTTATTTCCATCTATTAGCTCCAAAAATATATCATGCATTCTCCAGTATTTGCAATGTTTTTCCTGCTGAACAATGAACAACTGAGTAACACTTACTGCCTCAGTTGAATGGTTTCAGCTCCAGTGGGGGTAAGAGGCTCTCAAAAGAGGAGGCACCTCAAGATGCCTAGCAGAGAAAATTAGAGGAGTACTGTGTAACTTAGGAAAATTGACTTCTGAGTTCCAGAATTGTAAAAATAAATTCTTGTTTCTAATATAAAACATGCTTCATAAAAAGATATTACAGAAAGAAAGAAAGAAAAGAAAATGGAAACATAGTCTTACTATTTTGGGATAACCAATATTAACATTTTTCTTATACCTACCATTATATTTTTAAAATTAAAATTATTCTGATTTTATGTAATATTATATTATGATAATTTTTATATTGCTAAGTATCTAATGCATTCTTTTTAAGATTACATAATCTTCTATTGTATTTCATTATACCATAATTTATTGATTCATTTTCCTATTATTGGATATTTTTTCCTCTGGTCTAAAACATTTCAAAATGAATATTCTTTTTTTTTTTTTTTTTTTTTTTTGAGATGGAGTCTCACTCTTTCACCCAGGCTGGAGCGCAGTGATGCCATCTCGGCTCTCTGCAGCCTCCACCTCCCAGGTGCAAGCAATTCTCCTGCCTCAGCCTCCCAAGTAGCTAAGGTTACAGATGTGGGCTACCAAGCCCAGAAATTTTTGTATTTTTAGTAGAGATGGGGTTTCTCCAGGTTGGCCAGACTGGTCTTAAACTCCTGGCCTCAAGTGATCCGTCTACCTGGGCCTCCCAAAGTGCTAGGATTACAGGTGTGAGCCACTGAGCCCAGCCTCTCTTCATTATGTACCTCTGTGACTAATTAGTGTTTACTTAGAAAGTAGATGACTGGATTAAAGTGTATTAACATTTTTACGACTCTAAATTCATATTGTTAATATAACTTTCAGAAAATTTATGTTTACCTCTGTTTGACTTTATAAAGTTAAATAAATCACTAGCATTTGTATTTTACTGCTTTCTTTCAACTCACATGGCAGTATCTTAAACCTATCTCTATGAAATTAGTTGTAAATTTGGTAAATCAAAATTTACCAAATATATCATTTCTATCTAATTTTTTGCAATCTTGTACTTAAACACATACCTTTAGGCAGCTAGTATACATGTTTTTGATAAATCCATCTCTGTTATAAAAGTTCCCAAATTAACACACGTGGCCTTTTGTGCCACAATTTAGCGTTATGCTAAAATTTTATTGTGTCCGTCCTTTTATATTATGCTCCTCTCTAAACTACATAATCTGCTTAAGAAAATAAGCCCCTTGGCAGGGTGTGGTGGCTCATGCCTGTAATCCCAGGACTTTGGGAGGCTGAGGCGGGCAAATCACAAGGTCAGGAGTTTGAGACCAGCCTGACCAACATGATGAAACCCCGTCTCTGCTAAAAATACAAAAACTAGCCGGGTGTAATGGTGCGGTGCCTGTAATCCCAGCTACTCAGGAGACTGAGGCAGGAGAATCACTTGAACCCAGGAGGCGGAGGTTGCAGTGAGCCTAGATCACACCACTGCATTCCAGCCTGGGCAACAGAGTGAGACTTTTTCTCAAAAACAACAACAACAACAAAAAACAAAAAGAAAAAGAATAAGCCCCTTGCCTTGAATACCATGGGAGTGCCTTAAATCTATCTCTATGAAATTAATGGTAAATATTTGGAAACCCATGAAGTAATCAACAGACACACAAAGAAATTATCAAGAGAACGAACTTAACTTTTTTCAAATCATAAAACAATCCTGTGAAGTAGAAAAGGTATCTACTTCATCTTTTGAAGAAGAAAATGAAGGCTGGGAGATGAGGTCATTTACCCAGTGTCACAATGGCTACTACCGTATCAGAGTTAGCTGTGATTCACACCCAGACAGGGTTACTAGATTTGGCAACTAAAAGTACAGTATAAGTATATATCAAATATTGCATGAGACAAACTCATTTTAAAAAAAAATTTTTTTTAATCTGAAATTCAAATTTAAGTGGGTATTCTGTTTTTTATCTGATACCTCTATATCTAGGCCTGTCTGACTTCAGAGCACCACAGTACTTTTGGCATCTGGAAGGTAAAAACATGGAAAATTAGTCAAGTCGCCTATTTCAGCAAATTGCCTCTAACAGCGATAGCAAATAATTCTTGTATAGAAAAACATTTTTCACCGTTATTCAATTTTCTCATCTTTGCATTTAATGCACCTGTAAACTCTTAGCACTTTACCTGCATACAAATGAAAAATTTGATAATGCCCACTATTATTTTTTATAATATTCTTGTCCCTTGAGGCCCAGTGCGGTGACTCATGCCTGTAATCCCAGCACTTTGGGAGGTGGAGGCGGGTGGATCACGTAAAGTCAGGAGTTTGAGACCAGCCTGGCCAACATGGTGAAACCCCGTCTCTACTAAAAATACAAAAATTAGGCAGGCATGGTGGCACATGCCTGTAATCCCAGCTACTTGGGAGGCTGAGGCAGGAGAATAGCTTGAACCCAGGAGGCAGAGGTTGCGGTGAGCCGAGATAGCGCTACTGCAGCACTCCAGCCTGGGCAAGGCATTGAGACTCCGTCTCAAAGAAACAAACAAACAAAATACATACATACACACACACACACACACACACACACACACACATATATATATAAAATACAGATAATTGTCCCTCACATCTAAGAAATGTTTTTTAATCACCCAATTTGGATCTAGCATTCATGAAAGTACTTAGACCAGACCTCTGTGGATCTCCTTCATATTTTCAACTTGATATTGCTTCTTGGGGAGTTAAGGTCTTCAGAAAATGACTGCCTGTTGTTGAATGTGGAAGACCTTTTTGCTCTTACACTCAGTGTTCACTTTACTTCAGCCTCTCTAATGCCAACTGTTGTTATCCACTTTGGCAGAGTTTTCTGCGATATCTCCCTGGCCTTAAATATATGGGTTTTATAGTCCCAGAACTGAGTTTGAATCTCAGCTCCGCTGTTCACTAGCTCTGCGATTTGGAGCATGATAATGAACTGCTGGGCCTCAGTTGCAGTTTTCATGGAATGAGCATAATAATACCTAGTAGGTTTGTTGTGAGGATTAAAATGAGACAGAGTAATATGAAGCATTATTACTGTTCCTAAAGCATTGTAAATACTTGAGAAAAGGCTATCGTAATTTTAAAAAGACAAATATCAAAGTTAAACTTCATTTTACAATAATTGCCTTGTCATAAATTTACATGGTTTCTTTTTAGAAGTGAAAGATATATTTTCTGGTTAGAAAATATACCAGGGTTAATTAGAGCAATCTTCTTGCAGTCCTACTTACCTCATACACAGATGATGTAATTATAATGAACATATCTATAAAGAAATCAAAATGACAAGATCCAGAATTCACTCCCATAGGTAACCATGAATATTCATTTTCTTCATGGTTTTCCTGTTACTTGAAACTTTCTTAAATGATTTTAATGAATTAAATAAAACAGGGCAATGATTCTAGTGAACCTTTCTTCCTCCAGCCAACTTAAATCTCGGTCAATATCATGAAACTTATAGAACTTGTTACTTGTTATTATAAAACAGCTCTTCCACAATGAATCTCTCTCTCTCCATATTCCAAATAACTGATTTGCTTTATCTCAAAAATAAAGCAAATTATCGCCTTCTTTACTAGCTCTCACACTTCCTTCATCTCTCTTCCCCACCCCCCCCAAAAAAAAACCATATTTAAGAATGAACTGAATATTACAGATTCCTGGGATCATGTGTATTAGTTGTGTGGTCTTGAAAAAATTACTTAGCTTTTTTAAGGTTCAATTTCCTTATTTGTAAAATGAAAATAATAACACCTACCTCATTAGGTTTTTATGAGACTTAAATGGATTTAGCATTTCACACACTGTCAGTATATAAAGAGGACACTTCATAATTGTGCTTTCTCTCCCTTTTCCTTCCTTCTAAAGTGTGGAGCACCTAAACTGGAGCTTTGCAGCATATTGCTGAGGGCTTAATTGTACCCAATATGCTGCAATGGGAGTTTTCGTAAGCAGATATCTGTGGCTGTTAAGTAACTAACTTGTACCAGGTGCATTCACTCACGCTTGTAATCACTTTCGGAGGCAGAGGTGGGTGGATCACTTGAGGTCAGGAGTTCGAGACCAGCCTGGTCACTATGGTGAAACCCCATCTCTACTAAAATACAAAAATGAACCAGGCATGATGGTGCATGCCCATAATCTCAGCTATTTGGGAGGCTGAGGCAGGAGAATGGCTTAAACCCAGGAGGCGGAATTGCAGTAAGCCGAGATTGCACCACTGCCAGCCTGGGTGACAGAGTGAGACTCTGTTTCAAAAAAAAAAAAAAAAAAAAGACACACAAAGCTATTTTTATACCTTGTTTCTAAGTAATATATTATATAATTCTAGCAAAATATAACCAGGTGAAGTAATTTCAATTTATTTTCAATTTTCATTCAGTATTTTCATTTTTAATGAAAATCTGTTTTCATGTGTGTAGAGTGTTTAATAATGCAAAATAATAATCCTTCATAAAGGCGTAAAATTTGCTCAAATGTTTGTACTTTCATTTCACATATAATTCTTGAGTATCCATGGTGTGCTGGGCACTCTTCTGCGAGGCACAAACAAAAGTTCCTTCCTCAGAGACTCCACGGAGGCAGGATACAGGCAAACAAAAAAAAAAAGAGAGAGAGAGAGAGATGATTACAAAACAGTGTGATAAAGGGCTGAGCGATTACATACAAGGAGCCCAAAAATTGGGGGAGGAAAGGAACTGAACTGGAAGGCTTTAGGAAGATTATCTTTTTGCTGAAATTGAAAGTAAGTAGGAATTTCATGTGCATATATAAAACTTACATACTACAATATTTTTCTGACTTATCCAAGTTTAAAAGGGTAAGAGTATTGTGTTGTGTTGAGTTGTGTTGTGTTGTGTTTTCCCCTCCAAAGCATGATTAGCTTGACCCTGTCTACCTATCACTGGATTTCTTTTCCTGGTACCTGCAGTAACCTTGACTGATAAAAGGAACATAGATGCATTGGATTATCTATTTAATAGGCTACTTTTAATCTTGTTCCCTGTCTTGCTTTGTCAGCTCCCTCTAAATCTTTATAATCCTATTTAAACTACCTCTAACTACAGATGCTCATTTGCATGACACTGAGTCTCAGTATTTTTATTTCAAAAATTATATGATTTGAGGGATTCTGGCTCTTGATCCTAAGTTATTAA